TCCTTCCTTCCTTCCTTCCTTCCTTCCACCCACCCACCCACCCACCCACCCACCCATCCTGCAAGAGAAGGTCTCCCCATCCACTTTCTCAGGCACTTTAAGACGGGTGGGCTTCGACTCCCAGAATCCCCCAGCCAGTCTGGCCTTCAGCACCATCTAGTCTAGGCAAGTGAGACCAGGGCAGGGGTCTCTGCAGAGGGGATCCAAAAAGTAAACGTAATCACAGCCCGGAGCCTTTAACACCCACCAGATGGAGCCACCACCATTTTTTGACATGTGTGTGTGTGTGTACGCACACATATAGCAGTTCTGATTAGCTGTACGTTTTATCTTTTTTTTAATGTACATTTTCCGTCCTAGCTGGCAGCTGCCCAGAACTGTTTAAGAATTGGATGATGTAAAGGGAAGTAGGAATAACCTTCAGGAAAAAAGAAAATTTAGTCCAAAGCAGGAAAGTAATTTGAGAGAACATCTTAGGCAGGAACCGCCCCCCCCCCAGTCCCCATGAACGCAAGGAGAGGGAGGGGATGTTCCAACTTGGAAGAATAGAATAGAATAGAATAGAATAGAATAGAATAGAATAGAATAGAATAGAATAGAATAGAATAGAATAATAAATGGAATAGAATAAGAAAACAGTGAATAGAATAGAATAGAAAATAGTGAATAGAATAGAGTAGAGTAGAATAGAACAGAATAGAATAGAATAGAATAGAACAGAATAGAATAGAAATATAGAATAGAATAGAATAGAATAGAATAGAATAGAATAGAATAGAATAGAATAGGATAGGATAGGGTAGGGTAGAGTAGAGTAGAGTAGAGTAGAGTAGAGTAGAGTAGAATAGAATAGAATAGAATAGAATAGAATAGAATAGAATAGAATAGAATAGAATAGAATGATAAATGGAATAGAATAAGAAAATAGTGAATAGAATAGAATAGAAAATAGTGAATAGAATAGAGTAGAGTAGAATAGAACAGAATAGAACAGAATAGAAATATAGAATATAATAGAATTGAATATAATAGAATAGAATTGAATAGAGTAGAGTAGAGTAGAGTAGAGTAGAGTAGAGTAGAGTAGAGTAGAGTAGAATAGAATAGAATAGAATAGAATAGAATGATAAATGGAATAGAATAAGAAAATAGTGAATAGAATAGAATAGAAAATAGTGAATAGAATAGAATAGAATAAAGTAGAATAGAATAGAATAGAAATATAGAATAGAATAGAGTAGAGTAGAATAGAACAGAATAGAATAGAATAGAATAGAACAGAATAATAAATGGAATAGAATAAGAAAATAGTGAATAGAATAGAATAGAAAATAGTGAATAGAATAGAATAGAATAGAATAGAATAGAATAGAATAGAATAGAATAGAATAGAGTGGAATAGAATAGAATAGAAATATAGAATAGAATAGAATAGACAGATTGTAGAATAGAATAGAATAGAAATATAGAATAGAAATATAGAATAGAATAGACAGATTGTAGAATAGAATAGAATAGAAATATAGAATAGAATAGAATAGAATAGAATAGAATAGAATAGAATAGAAGGGACCTTGGAGGTCTTCTAGACCAGCCCCCTGCTCAAGCAGGAGAACCTATACCATTTCAGACAAGTGACTGTCTGGTCTCTTCTTAAAAACCTCTTTTTTTAAACTCTCTAATCAGCTCAATGACAGCTTTGTTCACACATCTTTGTTTGCGTGTGTGTGTGTCTATATTGTGTCTAAAAAAACGAGCGCTCAGATTTTATCCAGGTGCTCCTTCCCACAACTTGGAACGTGAATGTGCCACAGAGGAGGAGAACATTAAAAATAGGATCAGATCTGCTGAAGGGTGTGGGGATCCTGTTCCTTCTTTCCCAGGGGATCGAGAAGAAGCCTTGATCTCAATAGTGCCCTCCGTCTGATCTGGGGAAAGCCTGGTGTGTTTTCACGGGCAAAAATCGGCAACCTGCAACAACAAGACAGGGCAGCCCAAACAAACCCAGTCAGACGATGGCTGTCACTGTGGCTAGAAGACTCTGGGAGGATTCTCCCTCCATACGGACCACTGATCCATGGATTAATCATTGGTCATTGAAAGGCTAGAAAATACTTATAGCTCGGGTTTTAGGTTTTTGGCAGTGGTTTGCTCTTCAAGCTTGTTTCAAGCGTGCTCAAGCAGGAGACCCTACACCAGGGGTAGGCAACCGTGGCTCTTTTATGACTCGTGGACTTCAACGCCCAGAATTCCTGAGCCAGCATAGCTCAGCTTGGAAACTCTCCCTTTCCCCTCAGCGTGGCTGGCTCAGGAATTCTGGGAGTTGAAGTCCACGAGTCATGAGGGGGCCATAGTTCCCCTATGCTGGCTCAGGAATTCTGGGAGTTGAAGTCCACGAGTCACGAGGGGGCCATAGTTCCCCCATGCTGGCTCAGGAATTCTGGGAGTTGAAGTCCATAAGCCATGAGGGGGCCATAGTTCCCCCATGCTGGCTGAGGAATTCTGGGAGTTGAAGTCCATAAGCCATGAGGGGGCCATAGTTCCCCCACGCTGGCTGAGGAATTCTGGGTGTTGAAGTCCACGAGTCATGAGGGGGCTGTAGTTCCCCAGCCTTGCTTCTAGACCAGGGGTAGGCAACCTTGGCTCTTTTATGACTTGTGGACTTCAACTCCCAGAATTCCCGAGCCAGCATGGGGGAACTATGGCCCCCTCATGACTTGTGGACTTCAACTCCCAGAATTCCTGAGCCAGCATGGGGGAATGATGGCCCCCTCATGACTTGTGGACTTCAACTCCCAGAATTCCTGAGCCAGCATGGGGGAACTATGGCCCCCTCATGACTCGTGGACTTCAACTCCCAGAATTCC